GACTTTGCGGAAGGCCTGGAGGGTGGTGAGGGTTCGAATCTCCATGGGGAGCTCGTTCCAGAGGGTCGGAGCAGCCACAGAGAAGGCTCTCCTCCTTTCATTGGGTAGGTCATCATTCTTCAAACGTAGCAATTTGAAGTTGGGTGGTGGACTTCGGCTTCCAGAATACCCCTAGTCAGCATGCCCAATCCCACTCCTCCCATCTTCAAGTTGCTGAGGTTAAAAAAAAACCACTGAGATATACAAAGATGTGCTTCAGATATATTAAACCAAGGTACTTGTAGGAGGAGAGCCAGAGTAGTCAATGGTGACAAAAGGTCAGAAGGTGTCTGGTGACATCGCTTCCAACCGACACCTTGTATTGAATGGCAGGTGGTTTTGTAAGCTGCAGGTCATTGCACATGACATTTGTGTGCATATATGGGTCATGTGCCCACACTGATTCATTTCAGTTCTGCAGTTATAATTCTCCTTCTGTGGATGTATTTCCTACATTGCAATCAGGACTGGGTCTGGGTTGATGTGAACAGCTGTCCTACTTGGGGGAGATGAAAGATGTGTAACTAGGGAAAACAAGCATCCCACTCAAGCATCCCCCTCTTAGCACAGAAGTTCCCCCTTTCACCACGGAGTGCTTACCTGGACCCGTGAGGTTTGGATCAGAAGTCTCTGCAGAGGAGGTACTTCTTGATGTTTAAACAGCAGCACACAGCTTTGAAGGAAGTCACAATAAGCAAACTTGCCTACACTCTTCAAATCATATTTTGTTATCAGCTGCTGGATTTCTTCATTGGTTAAATTCAAATGGAATTTCTCTATTATACCTGTAGGAACCAAGGTTGCAAGATAAAACCAACTGAACTGATTCAAACCTGCATCTGGGTATGACAGATTTGGGTCTCTTCTGTTGAAATCATAGGAATGATACCCTCAGCTGCATTGGACAAACTTCTTGAGCAGTGTCTGTCCACCTTAGCAACTTTAAGGTCTGTGGGATTCAGCTCCCAGGATTCCTATGAGTTGAGGTCCATATATCTTAAAGTTGCCAATGTTGAGAAGCACTGGCGTTGAGTAGAGTATTAATCAAGCATATCACTCAAATACATCCATAATTTGGATTATCTGCATTAGATGGCAAGTGACTTCCTGAACTGATTATGTCTGTAGGATGTAAACTAAAAAGCCAAGGTGTTAGCTATACATTTTGCAGTCAAAGCCCTCTCTTTGTGTGTCTCTGTCTCTCTCTGTGTCTCTTTCTCTTTTGGGCTCTCTGCCTCTGTATCTGTCTCTGTCTCTGTCTCTGTCTCTCTCTCACACACACACACACAGACAGACACAGTGGAGTATTGATCTCAATATCACAGTTGCCATCCAGACTTTTTTTGTCCACATCTTGCAAACATTCATGGAAATATATCAGGAATTACGAAGGGATGCCTAAGTACAGATCGGTGCACTAAAGCTTATTTGTATGTGTGAATTGTGTTATTTGCAGGCGAAAAAGAACATGGAAGCCACCTTGGAAAATTTTTTATCACCAATCATTTTTGTTTGATATGGTCAAGAGGAGCTGGTTTGGTGTTCACATCTTGAACATACTTTCCAGAGACCGGCCGACAGAGGTCAATCTGGATCTGATGCTGGTAGCCATGTGTCTTTCTTATCCCTGGAGATGATATTGATCTGATTTCACATGAAGACAACCACATGGAGAGAAACACTAAACTAGGCTAAAAAGAATCAGGATCATCAACCACAGGGAAATTGGAGATAGGTTTAAAAATTAGACCACACCCGATGCATTCAAAATGATAGTGATTTTTTTTAAAAAAAA